GAACGAACCAGTATAACATAGCCTAGCCAAATTTTTAAAGAAACTTTTCGATACTAAGTTTTATTAAAACAAAATGTCAAAGTCAGCTTCAAATAGAAACAAAGTCTTCGTTAGTTATAAGAAGAGATTTTCTTAAATATAATACCTTTACGGCACTCATTGACAAGGTTTTACTATTTATTTTATTATTCTTTAATTTTAATTATCTGTTTATAAACTATAATGTATATTGACAAGGTTTTACTATTTATTTTATTATTCTTTAATTTTAATTATCTGTTTATAAACTATAATGTATTCTTTAAGAAAAACGGTATAAACCCAAGATTAAATCTTTGCGAAACATCCAAAAACCAACATACTGTCGTAAAAATTTCGAGCGTTATTAATATTCTTTAGTTTTTAGCCCATTCAATTTTAGTATAATAAAGTGCAAGTTTAAAGTAGCTGGGACTTACCGTTGAACTTGGCAATTTTGTTTTGTCGACGATGTCAGCCATTTTCTTAAATACGAAGTGTGTTCGACGATTTTTTTATATGGAGGAAATTAGCAACACCTTCATCAAAGAAATCTTAAAAAACTTAGTTATATTAAAATTTAATGGGCTAAAAAACCACACACTCAAAATAAATCTAGGAAATCGAATTAAATAGATCGAAATTTTTACGAAAGTGTGTTGGTTATTTTAATGTTGCACAAAGTTTGAACCTTGGATTTGTACGGCTTTTCTTAAAATATAAAGCGTATTTTTACAAAAATTAATTAAAATTGAATAATATTAAGATAAATGGTCAAATCTTCTCGTAGAGTTTTGATAAGCACTTGAAATTCTATTAAAATGTCAAATTTTGTTACTGAATCCAAAGAAAATGTCTCTTTTATCCATTAAAAATAACTTAAATATGCTTTTTGTTAAGATGTATACCTGAAAATGTGTGCATACATATTTGCGTTAAATGCAATACATGTGCACGTGGAATCAATTTGTAAAAGTGTAAAATACGTAAACGTATGCACATAAACAATAAAACTTTCTCATGAATACCATAAAATCATTGGTTTTGAAGGGAATGTACTAAGAAAATATATGAGCGAATTAAAAAGTATATACAATTTATAGCCGAAAAGTACATTTTTTGTATAGATTTCGTACTGAAGGAACAATTTCATATCCCAACACTGATACAGAATGTAAACAAACACAGGGTTGCAAGGAAAAAAGTTGAACGAGCTCAAAGTTGGCTGGCGACCAACTTTGTTGAAAGCGATTAGTTGAAAGGCCGTTCGGACGAGGCGATTTTTGCTTTCAACTAAAAGTTGCCTGAAAAATCGCCTCGTGCGAATGCCCTATTAGAATTGGGAGCGTATCACTTGTTTCGCAAAGATTTAATCTTGGGTTTATACCGTTTTTCTTAAAGAATACATTATATTTTATAAACAGATAATTAAAATTAAACAATAATAAAATAAATAGTAAAATCTTGTCAATATGTGAGTGCCGTAAAGGTATTATATTTAAGAAAATCTCTTCTTATAACTAACGAAGACTTTGTTTCTATATGAAGCTGACTTCGACATTTTGTTTTAATAAAACATAGTATCGAAAAGTTTCTTTAAAAATTTGCCTAGGCTATATTATACTGGTTCGTTCAAGCCATTTTTCGAAACTTACAATGGTAAATACGAACAGGCGAACAAAAGAGAATACAAAAAATGTATTGCTGTGAATTTTCAGAGCTATATATTTTTAGTATTCATTACTAAATTGTACTAAAAAGTGCTGCGTGGTAGGAAAGGATATTGTAAATGAAATTGTATCAAACAAGTACAATTGTACCAAAAATGCCAACACTGTTCTGTATACACACTTTTTTTCTTTTTTACTTTTTTACTCTTATTTTATCTTTCAGCTTCGCTAAAAGCACTTCTACCAACGCTTGGCTTACCAAATTTACGCCAATTAATAAAATTTTGAGATTTAAATTCATTTTCAATAACGTAAATAACGATTCTTGTTGAATCGAAAATCGCCTCGTCTGAATAGGGATGGCAACTTTTTCACTTTCAACTTCTCATTCAACTTCGTATTCAACTTTTGTTGCCTGTACAATCGCCGCGTGCGAATGCCCTATTAACAGACAGAAAAACGATTGCTATCCTCAGATTAAAGCTTCGTGAAATATGCAAAGATTGGGAGATTAATGATGAAAAATTTAGTGTGATACTTTCGGACGTCGGAGCAAATATAAAAGGCGCAATCAAAGAAGAATTTGGGGAAACTAAGCATATTTAATGTGTTGGTCACGTCATAAAAAATATTGGTCAGAATTTAATTGAAGTAAACTTAAACAAG